TGAATGCAGAATTTGAGCCATAAAATTTTTTCTCCCACATTGTGTGTTAAATCAACCAGTATGTGGGTGATTTGTTTGTTTCAGTTGGGTGGCAATGGTAATGTGCACAGTAATGTGGAAGTAGTAAATTAAATTCTTCGGGTGAAATTACCGAGAAATTTGAATTGTTCCACAATTGAGTTTAGGTGCGGTCCGCAGGATTGGTATGTTATGTTATGTTTGTTTTGTTGCCGGGGCTTCTTAACGGGGTGAGCATTTTTGCTTTTTGTGGCTGATTGAGATGGGGATGGGGATGGGGAATGTTGAAGGGGAGGGATAAGGATAAGGAATATGTCACCCCTTCCAGTAACTCCTATTGTTGACATTCTCATCCGAGACGCTTCATTTTCCCTACAGACATTCTACTCTTATTTGAAAAGAAAGTTCAGTCTCAATATGTATATATTAAATCGCAATATAAAACATTACGAATTAACGTAATTAGCTAAATACAATCGAACGCAGGTATCATCATGCAAATAATACCGAGTCCATTTCTGGACCGCCGGTAGAATGTATGTATGTATGTATAGAAGAAAGAATGAAATTAAGCCACAACAGGCCACCCATCGGTCCAGGTGAGCGTGTTCCAGCCGAACTGGTAATCGTCGACAGCCAGGCCAATGTTCTTGTCGGCATAGTGGTAGTAGACGACGATACCGTGGCTGGTGGTGTTGATGATACCCCTGCAATTGATCGCTGTTAGCATGCTTTCCGTTTGATGTGCGACAAGCCACAAAGACAGGGGAGAAATGATAAGGGGCAACTTACTGTCCACCAGGGCCGTAGACATAGTCGTGGCTGGCCAGAACGGTGGTTCCACCGCTGTTAAGGCATGAAACGCCGTCCTTGTCGACCTGCAGGTGATATTAGCACTTACTTTATTTCTTTGAATATTGATGTTTAGGTATGGCACTTACAAAGTTGCCCGTTCCAGTCTTGGATCGGCAAACGACAATGCGGTACTCGTCGCCCTGGGCAGGCAGGGAGGTCGTGTATCCCTGAGCCTTGCCGGACGAGAAGGTGAGGTAGTAGTAGCCTCCGTACTCGTACATGTAAGAAGCCTCGATGGCGTGGTTACCCGATGCGTTGTAGGCCAAGTTGGTGGGGCTGCTGCTGCTGGCGGTAAGGGAGTCGGCCATCTCCACCTGGTAGAGGCCTTGCCAGTAGGAGCCGAACTGGAGGTAGGGAGTGCTGCCAATGGTGATCCAGTTGGGGTCAATGGCGTTGTAGGGAGTAGACGACGACGAGGTGACACCGATCTCGCCATGGTCGGTCCAGGAGTCGGCTTCCAGGGTGGTGGAGGTTGCAACTCCAATGGTGGAATCCCGGCTGCCCAGAGTAGAGCTAGCATAGTACATGTAGTAGGTGCCATCTACGTAGTGTACGTCCGGAGCCTGCAGGAATGTTAGAACTGCAGATGGCAGGGGTCATGTCAAGGGGCTGTCAGTTGTCATACCCAAAGGTTGGAGGCATTGCCCACTGAAACGATAGATCCGTCAGGCAGTGCATACCCGAGATCAGTCCAGGGACCAGTGATTGCGCTGGCAGAGGAGATATGGATGCCACCTCCTGTCGAGAAACGAAAGTAGGTTCCGTCCGACACACGGCGAATGACATTGGGGTCGTGAGCCCAGCAGGTTCCCGAGCATGCACCCGGGTCTGAGTAGGCGTTGACCAACGCTACACAAAGAAGCAAGACAAACGAAAGCATAGCGGAAAGGGGGAATCCTCCAAAATGGAAAAGAAGAAAAAGGAAGAGGAGGGTAAAGGGGAATGGAGGAGTAGAAAGGAATTGCTGTTTTCAATTTAGCCAGGATACATTGTCAGTCGAGGGAAGGGCCCTTTATGTACAAATAGTTCGGCCGGTATACATCGGGCCTGTCAGTACAATGCTTGCAGAAAAGGTAGTAGCCTTGCAAGTAAGGGCCACGCTAGAGATCCAGCTGAGCTTACGCATGCATTGACCTTCGGGTCATTCTCGTAAATGAGGTAGACTAAAGTCGAGCGATAGTAGGTGTCGACTCCCTTGCTGCAGCGGCCCAAACCAATCACGCCTTCGGAAATAGCTTTAACTTTAGTCGAAGCGACTAGTTGTTAGTGACGACAGTGCTCCATGGGATGTAGTATATGGCTCATTTCTAATGCCGATTGTTTGCATCGACGTGGAGCCCGTGGCTGAATGCCCGGATGGATCCAGGGCAGGGTTGGGAACCGGCCAGACCTAATCCGTCGGTTACGGGGGGGAGGAAAATCAGGCAACGGAACAAAGCCACTATCAGAGAGAGAGAGAGCCACCAAGACAACTGCAAGATTTCCCCCGCGTTCGTCGTAGCGAGGAACTGAAAAAGCAAATACAAAATAATGCATAATAAAAAAAATACCAAAAAAGAAGTAAAAAAATAACTAGAAGAAAATATTACGGGCTAGGCAAAGTTTAGGGTATATCCTTAATGTTAGGCACCTGATCGATCGGCTGGTCTTCATCACATTACCCTTTTGGGACCCCATGACTCCTCAGGCTCGCTGCATCCGAGAAGTGGTTGACCTCGGATTTCGGGTCTCGAAGAAGCAAGAATCTACTTGGACCATTCAGGAGAGGCCCCTGGATGAGTGGGTTGGTTGGTCCCAAGTAAACGAGGCAATAAATGGACCTTACTATAAATTTTGGGTACAGTGGTTATCCTCGGGCCGCCTCACCCGTGTCAACTCTTAACACGGACAAGAATGTGTGGCTTCAATCAAGTAGTAAACAAAGTACTACTATCAGCCTCTTAGTCTGCCCTGGCAGTCCTTCCCCCCTCTCCCCTTTCACCATCATAGCGTCATCCATTCATTCCCGGCCACATCCTCACCCCCACAAATGCTTGGCCTGACGTGTCAATCAAAGCGCGCTATAGGCATGGTGTGAGTGAGTAAGAGAGAGTGTGTGTGCCAAAGGCCACAACTTGGAGGTAAAGCAACCGGGCTCTCCGCACCCGGTGATTGGATGTGTGCATACAGATGACGGGCTGAAGGGGAGATTTGGTCGGGTTAGTCTCCTTAGTCTCGCCCAGAGCTCGGCCTAGTGGGCGCCTCCCAGGCATTTCGGAAGGCCATCGGTCGATCATGGACCTCCCTACCCAATAGGACTCGGTCATCCAGTTGGAGTCCGTGAGCATGGGCGGAACCACCTCGAAGCTTGCCATTTACATCGGGATGTCGTGATGGGGATCCCCAGATCTGATGATTCATGGGGGTCATCTAGTCTGTCGACTAACAGCAGTAGCGTCTTGTCACTACTTCGCTGCTAGACTATCTCGAGGATCCTCCGATCAATGTCTCCGCTTGCTAAAGACAACCGCAGTACGGAGTAGATGAAGAATGAGTGCCGTTGGAGACGACAATAAGTTGTTGCTACCACGTCGAAGCCAACTCCGCCTCCCCCCTTGCATGTTACCATCAGGATTACTCCATCCACTGCTTGGGTATTTCTGCATCTGTTGGATCAATCTAAGTGAATTAATTGCACAGCCGTCGACTAAGATTCTGTCGCTCAACATTGCTGGAAAACTCGCAGCCTTGCGATCCCCATTATGTAATCCGGGGGGTTCCCCTCCTCTTGGTTCTCCTCCTCTTCCCGAATGCCGTCCCAGTGGTTGCAGTTGCCATGTGCCGAGACTGACCGGATTTTGAGATCAGACGGTACCATGATCGTCTCACGAGGAGAGTTGTGGGAGTTGTGGTGGTGCTCCTGAGATGGCCAGTCGGTTGATGGTGCGACCTGCGCTAAGGATGTCGTGACTGGTCCAAGTCATGGCGGATGGGGGAAAATAGAGAGGAGAGAACGCGATGATAGCAAGCAACACGGAACCTGGTCTATATGCGCAAGAATTATTAATGTTTGCTGGGTTGTCAGATTCGAACAAAGAACCAAGACTAGCGAAGCGATATTTTCTTTTCTTTTCTTTTTTTTCTTTTCCTTTGGTTTTTGTTCTGGAGGATCCGCTCTCGTGTTTTTTCTCTGCTAATTGCTGCAAGGAGGCCCAGGAAGAAGTAATGATGACCGCATGCAGCTACGAAGAAGACTAGTACTGACGGAGAACTTCTCACCGAATCTCACGGAGTCAGACCGGATTGCGGTGAACAACGCATTGCGATACTTGATTATCTGCGATGCGGAAATTACCCAAGTGCCTTAATGGTGGTGACTATTCCCCATCGCAAGCAGGAGTTGCAACGATAAGTACGGATTGCGTCTTCTGGAGGATCTCCCACTCGTTCCAGGGACGGCAGCGGATGGGACGCTTTTCCGCGGTGGATAATGGCCGTTCCTCCATTACATGCATGGACCTTTTCTCATATGATAGTGTCGCGGTGGAGAACTGTGGAGGGTGGGTTTTAGCTATTCTCCGAAAACAACATCGGCGGTATGGCTTGCGGATGGGCGCAGTTGGGCTTATTGTGTTTGCGTTTCCGGAGATTTCCCTTTCAGGAGAAAGAGGGGAGAACTTTGAAGAGAGAGAGAGAGAGAGAGAGAGAGTTAAAGGGGTGAGTAAAAGGCAGAAAAGAATTGGACATGTTTTCGATTTGACTTTACAAGAGACTTCGCAGCGATCTTGTTTTTGGGGCGTAACAATCGATCGACGGGATCGGAGATGGCTGAGCCTGAGCCACGGTAGTATTCTGCTGCTGATGCGTAACGCGACCACCCAGATTGCTGCCGGAGTTAACTGGCATCCATGCTATGTCCGCCCTGGAGTAGAGAACGGCTATCTCACCCGCAATCAGCTGAAGTATACAGACCAGATATCAAGTCTTTTCAATGTTGTTCGTATAAACTACAACGTAACTAGTTTAACTATTCCCCCATCCTTTTCTAAACCAGCCACGGCGTAAGCCATCCGCCCTTCGTGGCCATACTAACCTGTCACACGACACAACATCAAGCAAGACAGATAGCCCGATCCAACAAACCCCAAGAAACAGAACATACAACAGAACAATCATCAACCAATAACTAACCCCAGACCACAATACCTCCTGATCAACCAATACACACAACATCACCTAATTCATCTATTTTAAGCACACACAGCACAGACACTCAAGCAAGGGACACATCAATTACTCGAACTCAACTGTCACTTTCCACGAACCCCTATCAAAGTATACCATATCAACCATCCGATCCGATCCACCACACATAACCAGTACACAAGAATAGAACTCTCCTATCCATGGTACTACGTCCAAAGATGAAAGACAAGTCTCATGCATCCTGCAGGGGTAAATGAGATCTCTCACCACCACCAAAAGCCAAGTCAAGTAAGTAATCTGCAGACAGAGGTCGACACGCGTCCAACACATGGTTGTGGCTCCTTCAAGCTTCTTTTACCCCTGACGATGAAAACCTTGAGGGAGGCGCGTTCCTGCAGTAGTTGTTTGTCTGTGGCTGCTGTACGTAACGTAAGAGATGACTAGATAGGAGAGATGGTACCTGGCAGGTAGGTAGGGTGGTGATGAGCAGTGGCGAATCCAGTAGATCATAAGCAGTATACCTGTTATATTGTATGTATATCATAGCTTTTCTACCTCATACGATGAAGCAGATGCCTAACAGAGACACATACAGTACTCCAAACTCTCTAGTTGCTAAAACATCAGCAAGGAGTGAGTATACACCCACTCCCCTATACAACCAAGCCCAATATCTCTTCCCCATCGCCACCTCAAAACAACCACCCAAATACCCAATATCCACAAAAGAATACATCAATACCCACTTCAAATACAACCCCCAATTCTACCACCCTCATTATACCCAATACACCCCCAAAATACCTTCTGGTGAGTCCCCGATGCCAACCGGACCGCGATGACGCGTCCCCCGTCGACACATCACGAATCAGGTTCCCAGGGCCAAAAATAAGCAAATATGATACGGGGATAAATATATCTTGCAGATGTAACCTTATTATTATTATAATTTTATTTTGTGATTTGTTTGCTTGTTCCATGGTTTGGGTTTTTTACATAAGTAGATCTTTTGTGTTGGTTTAATTATCTTATAGTTCTGTATCCGGATTTGTCGGGTTCGGGTCGGGATAACTATTTTCTGTATACCGTATGCATGAGTGGATAGCTACTATTGGGGAGTTGCATGTGTTAGTGGGTATGGTTTGATTAAGGTGCAATTTGTTGTATAGTGTTTTTTATTGTGTTAGTAGTGTGTATTGTGTGATGACTGTGGAGTAGGTCCTTAGATTTTGATGGATAGTTTGTGGATATTGTTGATAGTTTGTAATGAATGCAGGATTTTTAATATAATGAATGTATGATGATGATCGAGGAAAGAGTAGTATGTTCAATACTCATTTTAGCTTAATTTTGTTTTTTTAGTACTTACATTGTGAAGCATTGTGTTTGCCGTGAAGCTGGTCGCTATGTTGTTTGAAGAGAAACGTTTGGATAAGGCTTGGATGTATACTATAAAGTTGAACAAATTTACTGTAGATTTGGGTGAAGGAGGCTTAAGTGTGTATTTCATTATATAACATGGACCAATCCGATGAAAATACCTTTCCAGCCTTACTATATTGCTCTTACAACTGCTCTCCCGTCTAAACTCGACGCTACCTACATTGTCTAGCGTATATCTCGAGCACTTAACAAAGAAAACCCCATTTCCCCAACATTATTTCATTATCTCAAACCTGGCCCCGAATATTCCCATGTTCACTACAGTTTCATCAAGCAAGATGCAGTGACTTCCACCTACAGTACTACTTCGTCCCCCATCCCCCCAGTAAAAGCCATACTAGCGATTCCCAGCCGAAACAATAAGCCTTGAATCATGGAAATTGATACCAGGATACAACGATCATCATACTCGGACACTAACTGTCAGACTTGGTTTGGTTATCCATCACGCCATATGCAAAGCCGATCAACTCAGCTGCCGTGATTGCATGTTCATGCATGCAGGTATGCATCATCGAATACTTTCTAACTAGCAACAGCTTTAAGAAAAAAGCTTTTCCTTCTCGATATCTAATCCTCCCTATTAATTCCCAGTCAAAGAAAATGCATGTATGAACTCCGCATGGACACTAGTAATGTAATAGTGGGATATCTACATAATATGGCGGTGTATGAACGGGGACATGTTCTTTCAGCATGTACCTTATAGTCTATCTGCATGAACGCATGTTCTTCTTCAGTGCTATAGCCTTTGATTGTAATTTTATCAGTCCATTTAGTTAGCTTACTGACTGGGGAGAGTATCGAGGCTAATTAACTCTGAACGTCAGGGAGATTGAACAGGTATCAATCAGCACTAGTCCCGGATCAACGGACCCAAAGAGACACGTGGGAAGTATAACTACTATCAAGGTAAGCTCCTGCTTAGGCTTAGTGGATTCATTTAGCTAGGATTTATTCAGCTAATAAAAAAGTATAGCATGTCTTGCTATAAGTGGCTGAATAAAGAGGTCTAGTAGGACCGCTACTGTGAGCAGTATAGTGAAGGGTGGTCATAATCATTTCTTGATTTCAACTACAAATCTGTCTAGAGATATATATTATATTTATGCTACATAATCAGAAGTAGTTTTTCATTCTTGTGTTTAGTATGTACTCAGTTGTTTCGAAAGGAAATGTGGTTCAGATTCGAGTTGTGTTTTCTGGCTTCCCATCAGCATGACCGACAATGGTCAATAGTCGCCTTGTATGCTGTCATTGCTATGCAAGAGTAACTGCGTCTCATAGTCACGACACAACGAGATTTTCCCAGCTCACATTTGTTTGTAATTAGCTTGTCTATGTCTTGGTGTCATCAAGTTATTGCGACTCCCGGCTGAAGATAGGGCTTATACCCTCAGCAAATGCTAGTGTTGACTTTAGATGTGCCATATTGAACATCACATGGCTCTCTGGCTGGGTGAGAAGTCGTCCGGATGCTCTATGTTTGTTTCATTACCAGATGAAGATAGGGCAACGATGGTGTATACCGACTGGTTGTTACATGACAAAGCGTACCTGTTTATATCGCAATATCAATTGTTAGAATAATATTCATATTGAACATTCGTAACTGTCATGTTTCCCTCTCTATCTATCCAGGACAACCGCCATTTGGGTCATTCGCATCAGCCATTACCTCGTTCTCGAGACAAAACTATAAACGTAGCAAACAAAGAAACGAACACAACAAATTTCTATACCCAGCCAACTATCTAACTAGCCTGATATACTTTGAAGCTTGCAAACTCCCAGTACGCCTGAGTAAAGTTGCCAGGGTTGCTGCGAACAAAGCTTTCGCATGTGCCCGGGCAGTGATACTGTTCCGTATAGAATGCCTTGTTACCACCGAGCTGTCCGCAGAGATCAATGTTGGCAATTATACTTTGATTTTTGAAGTGAGATGGTATATCGCAATGAGTGTTGGGAAAGTCAGCCAATGCAGTCCCCCATGTCGATGGGTCTGGCGTGCCGCTCGAGTTCGAAATGTCGTCGGGAATGGAATCGCGTGAGAAAAACCAAGCTCGGATTCCGGCATCCCGTAGCTCCAGAGCGTAAACCTTTTGCCGTCAATATCATGCATTGTATGACTCATGCGTAATAAAAAGAGACTTACCCCGCCGCCATTTTCATTCATTTCTTGTCCGTACGTTCTTGGCGAGCCTTGTACGCCACATCCAGCATTGCTATGCGTGCTATTGTCGCAGGTCACGTAATTTGGCGTACCGGTCTCCTTGCGCTTGACATTCATCTTACAACCGCTGGTTGTATGCAATGTAACGGCATTTCCCTCGGTGGCCAGGTTATTCGTCTCAACTACGTCGATCTCCCCGTTCTCGGGCCAATTGTAGGTATCAGTTAACCACAGTGCTGGCCACAGGCCACAGCCGTAAGGCGTGTGGATGATGTCGAAGATGAATAGTCCACTATCGTAACTTGTTTTTGATTCCAGACGCACAGACTGTCTCCCTTTGGTTGCATTCTTGTTGGATGTATCCACCTTGAGCACAACGGAGTCTTCGCCAACATAGGTCAGATTCAACGAGTTTGATGTTGACTGATTGACATATCTAGACAGCGTTAGTTGATACCAATGAGTCAAGGATTGGGATAACCATACTGGACAAACCCATCAGTGGGGTCCTCGTCGGAGTAGTAATTGAACCGATCAAAAAACGAGTTGCCCGAATACGTATCCACCAGCTTGTAATCGAGCTTGGAATAGTCAGGATAGCTTTTCTTTTTCGTCCCTTCGACTGCACCAACGACGACCGCAATGATGATGACAATAATGACGGCTGCGATGATCAACTTTTTTCGTAGCGACCAGCCGCGAGGGTCGTACCAGGAATACTGAGCGACCGTCTGCTGTGGAGGTATAAACTGTCCGGATCCTGGCGGAGGGGGTGGCCCTGCATGACCGAGATCATCGTCTAATTTGGGAAGCTGACTGGTGGCGCCGCCATACCTGCTGTATTCAGTGCCAGGTGTATAGTACTGCTTATCGGCCATGATGGCCAAAGCTTATCGGATAGACAAAAAGGAAGAAAGCGATATAATCTAGTAAAACGATGTGTATCCAACTATCTTCCCAGTAACGAATGTATGTAGCTAGTAGAATTGACAACGAGAGAGTTGAGGAGATGAAGATGAAGTTGCCGGGCGGGATGGTGTCATAAAGATCTGCGAGTCAGACTGGCGTTACCTTAACGATCATGGCCTGATTAGGCAATCAGCAGTCGCAACCGGGAAGTAATCTTGGAGCAATTCTATATGCGGAGGTTGCGTCCCCAACTGTACAATATGTTGAGAGGAAGACGGGAACACCAAGTTCAGGTCCAAACAATGAGATGGCTGGTTTTAGGAGATAACTCTGACTGTCTCTGCAACTCAATGCTGGATCATCGATAGGCAAGGAACCATTGCGTTGTCTGGGATCTTTCCAGAACCAGCAGCGTATGTTCTGTTTGCACAGTCCCTGACGACGCTTGTCTCAGTTGGGAAAGTGACCCCTGGACCCTGTCCAGCAGCTTAGTCACCGCCATGACAGACACTTGAGAAGTTGCTATAACATATAGCAGCTGTGAAAAAAAAGGCATTCTGGTTGAAATGATTATATAGAACTGCTTCTAGCTCATGAGGTGGGAATGCCATGGCGACCTGTCATCTGTTCTAAATTTAGAGACACGGGCGGCCCCAACAGTGAGCCGAGACTGAAGTGCAGCCAAATGAGGGGAACATGAAACAAGCCATCTGTGGACAGAGATACAAAGACTATTATGAGAGATGCTAGACATGACAAAGCTATAATATGATGCAGTCTATGACATTGTACTCAGTAGAAAAAATCAATCATAATAATAATCTTCAATTAGAGCCAGAGTTTGAACATTCATGATTACCGACCCCAAAAAGCACATATGACAATAGCGCGCCCGCTGTCAGCCTGATAAACCCAACATTTGATCTGTGATCAGCATCGCACATAAAAAAGAATCATCTCCCAAAATTCCTCAGCTACGCCATTCCTATCCCATCGTAAATCCCGCCAAGCGAACCTGCACCCAATAGCGCCATGCAGCCCAATCTAGCGTTCACCAAGGCCAAGCATAGTGCGAAATGACTAACAACATCGCTAGTGCCTCTGGAAAATACACCTTGAACCGTCGTGGACTCCAACCCTCATCGTACGGCAGACGCTCTTCGCCAAAAACAGCCCGTACATAGTCATCCGGAATGCCCTTCGTGACACCCTTCCCAAAGACACTTCGCAGTGCTGCCACTTCAGAACACGCAACGTAGTGTTCGAACTTGCCGAATTGCAGGTGTGGATTGTCCCTCTGCTGCTCATCATATCGGACCTTTCGATACCTTCCCATTATTGTGGTGTGAAACCTGCCTCCCTTCGCGGTTCGAAGGAACTGTTTGTATAGGTCAGGGTCTAGGTGGATGCAGTCGCCCAATGCGCGGTCTTGACGGGTGATCGAGACGTCGTGTTCTAATGCATGAGGACGGCCGACTTGATCGAGGTTGAGCACGGGAATCCCGTATTGATTCACTTGGCCTGGATCGCGTAGCCCAACTTTGGAGCTTCCTGGTGGTCCGTGGTTTGGGTCGTCGGAGTGGACTTGGAAGACGCGGCTTACGAGAACAGAGGCTAAGTCTAAGCCTAATCCGACATATCGAATGGCTGATTTCAGCTCGGCGGCGGTGATGGATTTCCCGTCGCGCGCGATATAGCCATGGTTGGCAAGGGAGTTAAGGACCGGACACGGAGAACGTAGGTCGTCTGGTCCTGCGGGATGGTAATGGCCCTTCTGGAGCTCCATTTTCAAGGATGAGGAGCGAAGAATGAGAGGAAATAGACGGGCATGCTTGCTTTCTATATGCATCATCATGACGGGAGGGGCCTGCAATGGTCAGCCTAGGCTGGGGAACGGGTGACTGCGGCGCCTCGATCACGAGCATGGCGGCCCCTGGAATACGACCTCCTTCAAGCCAGGATTACATTCACGCATCAACCCTGGCAGTCCAGTCAAGGTCAGCTGGATCTATTATACACTCATCTATGGTAACATCTGTTGGAGAACCCCAGCATGTATCTTCAGGTGCATCTATCAACAAACTCTTCAAGCATCTTGTTCAGCTCGTTCTCCCTCTCCCAGCCCAGCATATGGCCGCTGCCTTCAAAAACCTTCCATTGGATCCCATCACCGATCTCCTCGCGTATTATTTCCCCATGGCGAAACGTCAGCATCAAGTCTCTAGTGCCATGGCACACGAAGATCCGCTCCCTCCCCACTTGATCTCCCAGAGATTTGAGCTGCTCCGCTGACTTGTGATGGAAATAGCAAGCCAGCACCTGCATCATGAATCCTTTCTTCGTATGCGCTTCGGTGTCCGCACGCTTATGCAGCATACCAGCAGCAAACCGATCACGCTTGGTAGGAAAGTTCATCGCTGGGTCCTCGTACTCCGTATCTGGTTCGGCCAGGAAGTCCTCGGGGAAGAGACTCCTTGCCATCCTCTCGAGCTCTATGTCGACATGGCGGGGAATGAACATGCCCGCCCGTTCACGCAAGTTTTCGAGGAACGGACCTGTCCGAACCAATCGCGGAGCGGTACACCAGAGGGTCAGGCTCAATAAGCGATCGGGAATGAGCATTCCAATTTCTTGGGCGATCATACCACCCATGCTAGCACCGATGACATGGATCGATCGTTTCGGCGGAGCAGCAAGGTCGATCCAGCCCAGCGAGGCGACCAGGTCCACCACATCGCGAGCCATCTCGGATGTGGAGTAATAGGCGACCGGCTTATCCGACCGGCCAACTCCGCGGTTGTCAAAGACCAGACATGTATATTTGGAAGCGTGCTGGTGACCAAAGTATTTGGTCTGACGCCTCCAGTCCTTAAGCGTTGCATTGAGACCCATTACCCACTGCGACCCATGTCAGTACTACGGCACATGGGGGTCATGGAATATGCTCATACTTACCACGAGCTTCACGGGGCCAGTGCCATGGATCTCATAGTTGATGTTCAAGGGCCCTCCTCGCCTGTTTTGCGCCACGGTACATGATCCAGACGTTGTGGCGGAAAGGTCATAATTGATGGTGTTGTATGCGGAATGCTTGATGACTTCCTCGGCAAGGAGTGGTGCCATGTCTTCTAATTCTATCGGAGGTCTAAGATGGGAGAGTTGTGATTTAGAAATGGTGACCAGAGGATGTGGGCGTGGACCATGTCAAACTGGGCAGCTCCTCACATGTGCCGAATCTCTTTTCTTGGCAGGAGTCATCCGAGGCCGCCGTGTGATCCATTCTGTTCCTGTCGATGATCTCACTTCCCGCTTTGGGGTTGCTTGTGTTACCCATCATCTGACTGGCGTCATCCTCGATGAGATATGTGCGGGGGATTTCTTTCACCTACAATACATACATTTCAGTCCGTTGCATCCGTATGGCTGGAATAACGTAAGTGCGACGATGGCAGACACGGCTCTATGGCATTGACGTGCAATCTGGCTCTCAATAATCTACACCCAGGCAGCTACAGAACTCATATATGCCTGGCTTTTAAATTCTTTATAGAAGGTACTGACCAATACCTCGGCTTGAGCTTCTTGATGTCACTTTTTTGTGGCGTCTTAACCTTGACGAGCGATACTGAACTTCTAAGAATGTCAACTAGGGAATGAGCCAAACCAAATAGAATTAGGAACTTTTGATTACAACATAAACCATTTTATTCATTCATTAATTCATTCCAGCTAAGCATCGTACTAATCAATATATGAGTAGAAAATGCAGTGCAGCGGAGATCTTTTAATTTCGTAACGTTATCACAGCTTATCAGTCCAGCTTCGACTCCAACACCATGCGGGGGTGTCACTGACCCACCATCTCCAACTCGACAATTGCTTAACATCCCCTCTACTCCCTGGTATCCCCACGAAGCATCAAGGAATACACACAATTATTTAAAACCACAATGGCACCAACTCGCCGCGTCGCCGTCATTCAATGGAACATCAAAGTACACAATGCCTCTCCTCCACCCCGAATCTCCCCTCAGTCTAACAACAACCCCAGGACCTCGCCATCGACGAGAACCACCAAACAGCATGCACCTACATCCGTGATGCCGCATCAAAAGGTGCCGAACTGGCCGTTCTTCCAGAGTACTATACCCCCTCCCTATCTCCCTCCTCAATTACACACACTCATTCACAATCCCAAAACCTAGATACCACCTAACCGGCTGGGCCCCCTCCAACCCAACCTGGACTGCCCTCGCCTCGCAAACAACCCCCTACCTCGAAGCATACCAATCTCTTGCCCGTGAACTCAACATCTGCATTGTCCCCGGCACCATAGTCGAACACCATGGCCCTTCCCCGAACGCACAAGAACAAGAACAACCACTCCTCTACAACACGGCCTACTTCATCTCCAACGACGGGAGTATCCTCGGCCACTACCGCAAGAAGAACATCTGGCACCCTGAACGTCCCTACCTCACCTCTTCCGGGAGTGATCCACATGAAGTGTTCGATACGCCGATCGGCAAGGTAGGGTTGCTCATTTGCTGGGATTTGGCGTTTCCGGAGGCGTTCCGGGAATTAATCTGTAATGGGGCGGAGATTGTGATTATACCCACTTATTGTAAGATCCAATCCATCTTCCCATTAAATACCAGATGGTTCTATATGCTGATTATATCACGAATGACTAGGGAGCAAATACGACGCCTCCCCCGCTGCCCTTCAACACAACCCCAACTCTGAGGCACTATTCCTTGAAACGACGCTCACGGCGCGATGCTTTGAGAATACCTGCGGGATTATCTTCGCTAATGTGGCGAGGGGAAAGGAAGACGAGAGTGATCGGTTCTTGGGTCTGTCGAGGGTATGTTTGCCCATTGTGGGGACTGTGGGTGCTATGGGGGATGAGGAGGGCGTGTTGGTGGTGGATATGGACATGGGGGTGGTGAGGATTGCGGAGGAGAATTATCGTGTTAGGGAGGATTTGGCTAAGGAGGGGTGGTATTATACGTATCGGCATCAGAGGTGATTCATGTAAATAGGATTATAGTATAGACAGAGATGAAACATGTTTATTTCTCCAGATACAGCGTCCATTTCCTTTCGTTCTTGCTTGCTTGCTTCTTCGAGCGAAGTAGTGCTTCTGAATAGTTTCAATCTTTTCACCTGTGACTGCTTAATCGACTGTGTCCTGAGGGAGTAACGTTCCGTGATCTTGTCTCCTAGCAAATAAAGGTAGAGGCGGCATTTGGCGGATGGAAGATTATTGGTGCTCGGCACGAATATATTACTGTTCTGGTGATTTCATGTCGAGGGACATTGCATAAGATGGATATATATAGATATTCGAGCTGGTGTAATACATCCTGGTGGCCATTGTCAGAGACTGAGTGAACTCAGCGGGAGATGGCTGATTCACTTACCTATGTGCCATGCCATGTCAGCCAGTATTACGTCGATACAGTTTTGTGATGGTACTAATAGTACTAGGTGGAAGCATTGAGCTTCTGGTTCACATCTCTACCCCATCCACACTGTCAAATCGTGTGCGCTATTTCTGTAACTCGCTTGCTAAGTGCTAAGTACTTAGAACTTTAGAGGCATTGTTGCGGAACATCATCTATCTACCTTTGGAAGTTTTGTCTTTAGTTGGTAGTGGTATATATATATATATATATATGTGAAGAGGATTGAGCTGGAGAAATTCGTAGTTATAATTTCTTGGTCTCCAATGAGCAGAGGGGAGACAATAATGAGAGAAGAGATATTGTGAAGAAAATGTTGAAGATGCAGTAAAAAGCTAAGTCCTCAGCACCCAGAAGGGCGAAGTGGGATGGTTATATAGCCATCCCACTTGGTGGATTCCCAGTGAATATAACTCCCCTTTTTTCCATCTTATTCACTTCATCTTTGTCTCATTTGTTATCTCCAAGGCTATCATAGTGTATCATACCTTCACAGCGTAGTGGTATCTATCACACATTGCTTGAATACTGATGCTTCACCTACAGGACATTATAGTAGCTTTTCTACGGCTTAGTAGTCGGTAATTCCCATTTCCTTAATGGCAATTTCCTTGCCCACGCAGGCGCCAGTGGCAGTTCCCGGGCTTGTGTCTTTCCTAGGCGAAGATTGCCGATACTTTAGACTGTAACAGCAGTTGAATCTACTGTTAGATATCACAGAAGCTCGAAATATGTTTAGGATGGGTGAAAAATCAATAATGCTTATTGGTCCATAATGAATACATTTCCCTATGAATGGGATCCACTACGTTACACACTAATAACTGATCTGGTATAGTTAGTGTCTCCAGTAATAATTTGTTGTCACATCAGTCATACCGAGTGAATGAGTATAGTGAAACAGTCCAAATATCCATTATGTTCATCGAGGGGTGAACTAATTCTTATTGGGCTTTTTCATGACTACTCTATATTTATTATACTAAGCATCGCCACACAGCACTACTATACATCATGGCACTGACTGCTAAACTGCAACCGTCTGAATTCTAAAAGGGGAAAAAACCACAATCATCCACAATCATTAGGCGATACAAATTCGTGAAAATCTTGGTCAAACCTGTCGTCCAGTCTTACCACATGCGACCGTGGAACCCTGGCATCAGAAGAAAGTATAAACATAAGGCATAAACTCCTCCGAGACAGAACCCCCATAACATAGGCCCCAGCATGATATCACTGAACGGGAACGCAACCGGGTGTATAGATCAAAACTAACCATCCAACAACGCCGTCCCTTATTGAACCTGGCTGACGATCTCGCTGGCCCGGGAAAGGCTCTCCACCATCTGCTGGCACTCTTTCCGCCGGCGGACCGTGTAGTCGCTTTCCTTCAGCAGGTCATCCAGCTCGCTGTTGCGGTACATGTTCTCGAGGAGCTCGCGCTGCATTTCGTCCTTGGTGAATCTAAAACAGAGTTAGCGGTGGTCGTGCGGACAAGGAATAGGTTACATACTGGACGAGAGTGTACATGATAGCCTTGGGCACCATATCAATCATAGTCCGCTTCACAATGTTAAAGTACGAGGTGATCAGGAGCTCTGTTGATCATTAGTATCCAACCGCTATCGAGCAGTTGCGCTGCACTTACTGACGACCTCAACCTCCACACTCTCCCGCTCCGACAAAGAGGCAGACGCCTTCAAAGTCGGCGGTGGCGGCTCCATGGCAGCCATCTTCTTCTTGTTCTTCGACGCCCAGAAGCTGCCAAAGAATCCACCGGAGTTGCTGTTGTCCACAGGAACCTCAACCGACGGGCTGTTCGCCCGCGGGGGCAGAGGCTTGCCAGTCTTGGGGTCCACTTGAGTCGGCTTGCCTGCGGTTTGACGCTCGTTGACGATAGTCATAGCCTATTCAGTCAGCACATCGTAGGTATCGTAGGATGCCATTGGGACTTACGCGGTGTCCGTTCAGGAAATCAGGGTGACCCGTGTTGATGTAGCACGCCTCCATGTTGACCAGGTCACGCACAAGCTTGTTGGTCGGCTCCATGGACTTCTTGAAGAAGCCAATAACAACCGCGTGGAACTTCTCCTTCAGCATAGGGTACCGCCGGAACAGCGACTTGTTCAGGAGCTGACCCAGGATGCGGACAAGTTCGTCGTAGACCAGCGAGATACACTTCAAGCTGGGGTCCTCCAGGCGCTTGATTTGCTGCTTCACGATCAATTCGAAAGCAGTGGTGCCCACAAACAGTGCCGGTGAGGGACCAGAGGAGTTGTAGAGGATGGTGCGGATATCAATGTCCTTCACATGGTCGAATGGGTCGACGGCCTTGATACCATTGGAGTAGAGCTCATGGAACACGAAGCTGATACGAGCACCGCCGGACAGCTCGATACTGGACAGCTCCTGGTTGCTTCCCTCCAACACTGTGCGGTACTCGTTGCTGAACTCCGTGATGATGTTGAGGACGATATTGGCGCTGTTTCCGAGCATCGAGTCACCGAGCTGTGACAGTTCCGAGGAATACTTCTGAAGGGAGGACGAAATGCGCGCTTTAATATCGGGAAGGGTTTGCTTAATGTGCATCATAAGGATCTACCAACGTCAGTTCCAATTCTCAGACCACAATGTCAGAGAAACATACCAAGTTCAATTTCCTGGCGAGATAAGGAGTTCCGCAGTACGATGACTTGTTGCGATAAGCCTTGTGACCCTCGAAGAAGTTCTTCTCGTGCTCCAGGGCATATGCGATAGGCCGCTTGTTCTCAATATCACGCTGACCACGGTTGACGACCGGAACATAACCCAGACGCAGAGGGATAATCCTGCCCGCAAGAATATCCACAACATCGGTACCCTCGTCCATCAAATCGACCTTGGTCAACACACCGATCGTGCGCTGACCCTCCGGGTCAACCTCCCGCGCCAGCTTCAGACCATCCGAGTTGGCCAGATCCTGGTTGGCAGAAGTGACGGCCAGGATGATAGCGTTCGGCTTGCTGATGTACTTCAAAACCATGTCACGGATCTGACGCTCGATATCCTTGGGCTGGTCACCCACGGGGACCTTGGTCAAACCGGGCAAGTCGACGAGTGTGAGGGTCAAGACATTAGGCGAGTAGATTCGCAGGTTGATAGGAGCGGGCGAGATACCGGCATTGCGGCCGACCTTGGACTCGGTTTCGCGCACAATCTCCTCGCGGATCTTGTTGAAATCGTAGAACTTCTGGCCGGGGATGTGAAGAAACTCGCCGTACTCGTCTATGTTGGCCTCCTTATCCGTCGTCTCCAGGGCCTCCTCCTTCACACCATTTGTTTGCGAACCAGCGGGCCTGTTGATAAGTTGCAGTACGAGGGGTCTCCGAGTGACAATTCCGGAACCACGAGGCAGGCTAGGCAACGACAAGAATGCCGGTTAGGCTGCTGCGACCAGACAAGAAACGAAGGGACCATGTCAACCACTTACAAATCCCGACCAACAATGTTCTCTAGAACGGAACTCTTTCCACTGGACTGCGAACCGACGACGGCAATCTGGGGCAGATCGATGGGGTTTTGAACCTAAACGGAACAGGCGGTGTCAGTTCGGCGGAGGGGCTGCGATGCAGGAGAGCTCCACGGGAGGGGATGACTTACTCCAACCGTCGCAAAGACATCCTGCAGCTTGTTCACCAGCGAGATCAAGCTGGGATCGTTGACGTTTATCCTGCGGGCACGATGAGGTCAGCCAGGCGAATCGGAGGTACAAGCATGGAGGGACCAGGGGTTGCGCACGAGAAGCCAGTAGTTGGGCTTGCCATGGCTGGCAACGAGGTATAGAGGATGGACGCTCCAAATTAATAAAGGCAGTAAATATAGAAGAAAGAAAGCAACAGTCTAGACAATGTCCGTAGAGCGATTGTCTGTTCAGGGGGGTGTAGACCAGAATGCGTGGAGGATGTTTGGGGGGGTGGATTGAAAGGGAAGAGGGAGAGCGAAGGCGGGAAGGGCCAAGTGGAGAGTTTCGCTTCGGTCCAGATCAGAGCAATCGATAGCAGCGATACGGCGGCCTGCACTGCCTGTCTGCCTGCCAAAACGATAGACGTTTACCCACCGAACCGGGACCCTGACAGTGGCAAATGAAAGGGCGACAAACGGGCTCCCGACTGTGGATGGAAGTACCCGATGGACCACACATTGGGAATCCCTACTGTGAGAGCGAATGGGCAAGGCCGCGTCATGTGGATTTGGCCACCCAAAAGCGGCCAGACAATGATTGCTTCCAGCAAATGACTGAATGATGCCGCCTGACTGACTCACGCTCAACACGACTTCTAAGTAGTTACTTGATTTTGACTTTCCATAAATGGAAGCTTCTCGAAACGGAAATTCTTCAAGGCAACGGCAATAACTACATATACTGGGAATTTGCTATGCTACAAGCTCGGGAATATAAAATAGACAGCACGCCTCCCCGGTCTAGCCCGGTGAATATGTCCTCCTCTACTCATCCGACACCGAAGCAAACCGCTCCGACATTTGCTGGAGGATCTTCTCGTACTGCAACAGGGTTAGAATACACAATACCTAATAGCGGAGGCATCTGGCTTACCTTCTCGGAGACTTCCGCCTCGTTGGTCGGCACCTCGAACTTCATGCCCCGGAGAGAGCTCTGAATGTCCGTCGTGGCGTCACGAACCTTGGACCAGTTCTGGCCCTGGGCAACCGCCTTCTGGGCTTCATCGTGGTAGCCCATGAACGCCTTCATCATGTACTCGGTCTTCCACAGCGGGCAGAACTGATCGTAGTCACTGTAACCGTTCTGCTGCAAGAAGTCGTCCTTGACCATGGCAGCCACATCCAGAGTGATCTTGTCAGAGTCACCCAGAGCGGCCTTACCAACCAGCTGCACGACCTGGTCCAGATCCTCCGACTTGGTCAGAAGCTCTCTGACCTGGTCACGCAGGCGAGGGAATTCGGGGTGGTGCTTTTCGTAGTAGCGGTCCAGAACCGTCGTGTACTTGCTGTAGGAGATCGACGTGTTGATCGACGGGAAATGTTTACGTTGAGCCAGCTTCTTGTCCAGACCCCAGAACACCTGGACAATACCCAGGGTACTACTGGTGACGGGATCCGAGAAGTCACCACCCGGAGGGCTGACGGCAGCGACAATACTGACACTGCCAATTCTCTCGGGGCTACCCAAGGCGTTACTCTTACCGGCACGCTCGTAGAAGGAAGCCAGCTTGGCACCCAGGTAGGCGGGGAAACCCTGGTCAGCCGGCATCTCTCCCAGACGACCGGAAATTTCACGAAGAGCCTCAGCCCAGCGGGAACTGGAGTCCGCCATCATAGCCACGTTCTTGCCTTGGTCACGGAAGTATTCGGCGATCGTAATACCGGTGTAGATGGACGCCTCACGGGCGGCGACAGGCATGTTGGAGGTGTTGGCGATCAGGCAGGTACGCTTCATGATAGGTTCTTTGCGGCCATCGACGTCAATAGAAAGCTATTGTTGCGATCGCTTGTTAGTTACTAGATGTCTGCTGTAGGATGGGGCACTAACTTCGGGGAAGTCCATCAACACTTCAGCCATCTCGTTACCACGCTCACCACAACCGACGTAGACAATGATATCACTGTTGGAGAACTTGGAGACACTCTGGGAGATGACAGTCTTTCCACATCCGAAGGCACCAGGAATACAGACAGTACCACCCTGGACACTAGGGAACAAGGAGTCCAGCACTCGCTGACCGACAATGAAAGGTGCGTCCGACGAGAGCTTCTCGTTGACCGGTCTGGGCACACGGACCGGCCAGGTGTGCATCATGCTGTGTTCCGTCTTGACTCCATTGAACTCGATTTCCAGCAGCTTCTCCTCGACAGTGTAGCTTCCCGCCTCGGCTATGCGGGTGATGGTACCCCTCGCGCGGGGAGGGAGGATGATCTTGTGGTCGTTCACCAAGCTGTTCTCGAAAACGGTACCCCAGATGTCACCACCGGTGATGTGATCGCCGACCTTGTACTTGCCGGGCTTGAAGTCCCACTTCTTCTCACGATCCAGGGCGTTAACCGCAATACCACGGGGAATGTAGATACCCTTGGACTGGTCGGAGATCGCCTTCAGGGGCCGCTGGATACCATCGTAAATCGTTTCCATCAAACCGGGGCCCAGCTCGACCGAAAGGGGCTTTCCTGTCCGTGTAACGGGGTCGCCGACCGTCAAACCAGCTAGAGAAAGTTGCAGTTAGACAAGGATGTTGTGGCGAGGCCGGAGGGGTTGGCGGGTGTACCTGTCTCCTCGTAGACCTGAATGGTGGCCTTATCGCCATCGATCCGAATGACTTCTCCGACCAGCTGGTCATGACCGACACGGCACTACAGTCGATGCCCGGTGTTAGCGGCTAAGTTTTGCAGATGCGTAAACCTAGAAGGGCAGTATCTGGCGGCGGGAAAACACATGGGAAGCATACCAGTTCGTACATGGCACAGCCGATCATATGCTCGGCCACGACGACGGGACCGGAGACGGAGAAGACGGAACCATGTTGGCTCTCGCCAGCATCAGCGGAGGGGGCCATGGTGCGTGAAGCAGGGAGGTGAATGACAGGAGTGGACAGCGCGGGGGAGGGGGAGGGATGGATGGGGGAAGGAGGAGAAGAGGAGGAGGAGGAGCTGTCGCTGCAGGATGATGAAGTGGGCGACACGGGGAGCGGTGGCAGTTGCGGGCTGTCTAGTCCAGGCGGTGATGACGACCTCGAACCGACTGGCTGTTCGTCTCCTTCGTGATGCGCAATCAAATCAAGCAGCGAGGGGCGTGCTTTGAGTCGTCGCACACCGAGTCCTAGCATTCGCTCAAAAAAATCATAATATTAATATAATAGTCAGAAGATTGACAATCTGGAGGCATCAACTAACTAGTGGCCCCTGATGAGCGATTGGCCGTGTGGTCCTTGCGGTGTTGCGTGTTTACTCAGCCCGCCTTATCAAAACGGTGCCGCTTGCTTCTTGGTCTCTCCACATCCATTGTTAAGCCACGCCCAAGTTGCCCATCCCAAGGACTTCCCTACGCTCTGCGAAGTGAACTTTCCGTAGAAACATACGCTTTCACTAACAGTGGACTACTCCACATGCCACCCCTCGCGTATTCAAAGCCTCTTACGTCTGCTTGCCTGACAAGCCATTGACAGGTTTCCGTTTTGATCCCATGGAAACTGCCCTCTATGGGCCATGCCATTCGCCCGGGGGGTAATTTCATCGGAGGATCGAAGTATCCGTCCCTGATATCCCTGATTCAAGTAGAAGACAAGTGACGTGATGGCACTCCGCCAGATGTAGTTAAACGATTCCAGGACACGCATGTTCCGTCATCCATCCTTCTTGCCCCAGTTGTTGTCCCTTCTACGACGACTGGTAGGTGCAAATCGACATAATGGATTCATCAAAAACCTGCACCTATTGGGACCATACGTTCGCATGGACGCCCCTTCATCAAACGAGGAAACAGTTGCGTTCAAAGATGCACACTTATGACAGGCTTGGGGATGAATGTATCGACCAGATCAATGCTATCGGCCGTCAGTTAGTTACTCAGGACAGGCAAAATGATCCAGAAAGGAAGTTACCCGATCTGGATGTGTACATTATGCTGAAAGATCACGCAAAAGACAATCCGAAGCTTAGTGAACTCTGGGCACAAGTCAACACAGTGCCGGACTGGGTGGATTGGCAGCAGATCAAACGGGGACAGGAGGTGTTCTTCCGTTATGGGCTTCCCATTCTGAACGTGGTAAGTCTAGCATCTAATCTAGTGACAACTCCAAGCATAAGCACTGATATATGCCAGCTGAACTTCGAAAGCCTCTTGGGCGGCATGTTAGTCACTCTGCAGAAAATTCCATCAGGCTTCGACTTATTCCTACTTAGGGGCTCACCAAGTGTCGTTAAGGCCTTAACCTTATGTGGAGGCTTCAACAATATATATGTCGTGCGGAAGAGACTACTGGAGACCCTACAGTTTATCCTCCAGGTCTCTGGATCGGTTGACGCAATGAAGCCAGGCGGTGTTGGTAATATCGCATCCATCCGCGTTCGGCTGCTGCATGCTTATCTTCGCTCCTTGATTTGTGTTCGGGAAAGGTATGACAATGAGAGGTACGGAGTCCCTATAAACGACCTTGACAGCCTTGCAACGATTAGCAGTTTCTCATCCATCATCATCTGGCTCGGCCTCCCCCGGCAAGGTATCTGGCTCCGCAAGCAAGAGATAGACGACTACCTAACTCTCTGGAGGCTGGTAGCCTACTACCTAGGAGTTCCAGACGAACCTTTTGCTAGCCAGCAAACCGCACGAGCGCTGATGGAATCTCTCCTTGTATCGGAGGTGGATCCTATAAACATTGGTAGAGTCCTAGCTCGTAATATTCTCAACGGCTTGGAGAACAAGGCCCCAGCGCATGCCTCAATGGGTTTCATGGAGGCTATGGTTCGGCTTCTGAATGGGAAGCAACTCTCTGACAGTCTTCAAATCCCTCAACCCACGCTGTACTATCGGGTTCTGGTATACGGGTATTGCTTCTTTGTCATGGCGTTAGCATATGGCACCCGGTTGTTTCCGAAGCTCGATCAAAGGTTTATCGCGGTACGTCTGTTCTCTCGTGGTGTGATCATTAGCGTGTGCACTGACTTGAGGCAGTATCGTCGTCGATACTATTACACCATGATAACCGATCGAGAGAAAGGGCTTGGAGGCGAGTCGCTCTTTGACTTTGTATACAAGCCATCTCATGCAGGGCCACTCTATAAAGCAGTGACAGTTAAGGAGGAAGAAAAAATTCCGAAAACATCGCGACGCGGCATTGAAGCACTGGCCCGGGTGGGTCTGGTGGCTGCATTAATTACTGTTGTGACTTTGATCAGTGGGGGATATTATGTGATTCGTATGGTGATGCGAGTATTCTTTCCAAAGATCAGATATTAATAGGATGTTGTATCCGTGTGCGTTGTATATGCATACATCCGACCCGTTATCGTACCTTCATCGCCCCACTATGACGTTATTGACCCCAGAGAACTGAAACCGAGATTCCTCGGGCAACATCAGTTACATTGAAACACAGCATATACCTCCAGATGTGGTGTTCCTTACGCAGCAAGGTATATGAAACAACTTACTATCTCTTACTATCACCACTACAGCATACCCAACACTACAAAATACACCCGCACTCAAGTAACGATCAACTCAGTCTCATATATAATCATATCATTTCAATTCATTTCATATCATAATAGCAACCACAGCAACAACATTACCACCATCCCACATCTCCAATCTCAAATGAATTCACTCGAGAGAAGCCGGTAAATCGACAGTAGTGGTTGTGTCCGTAGACATCGAAACATCGATTTACTTCTAAACACACAACACCCCATTAGCACATCACATCACGACCAAACCAACAACAGGTACTAGGAATTTCAAACATACTCCACACTCCTTGCAAGAGCACGACTGTCCACAAGTGCAGGAACTCGGTCCGCTGCAACCGCAAGTGTTTCCGGATCCGCAACCGCAGCCCATATTGAAGATAGTATTAAAATTTGGGTAGGTAAGGTATAAAACTTAAGTAGAGGTGGTGTTGGTCTTGGATGGTGCAATATCTTTGTCTTCTGAATGGTTGAATAAGACGAAATGAGAACCTTGGGGGTGAAGCGTTCCAGCTATATATAGGTAGCTTTGCTCTGCCGGATGGCGGGGTGGAGGGGAAGGAGGGTCTCGGTTGAGGGATAAAGTCATCATGAGGTCAGGTGCACCACTCCGCCCGCCGGCACAATTAGGGAAGCGGAGCGGAGCGGTTCGGGTTGGTTTAACTTATGTCATTATGAGATCGGGGAGGATACTGTTAGTCATTGGATGATGGATTGGCCTCGGATATGATTTGCAAGGGCAATATTCGTGAGACGGTGTTGGATAGGTTGAGGGGGTGTGGTTGGATCTTGGACACTATACTACTGAGATATTTGGTGGGTTGTGTTTTACTATATGTTGTGTTAGGTAGGTAGTAGTGTAGTATATGGTGATAGGCAAGAGAATCTATTTGGGTGCTGCTATTAAAGATGCATGGTAATTAGGTACGTGTCTAGGATAGTATAGCAGTGTATGTTTCTTTAACTCTGCACATCCTGTTCCGATGGTTAAAGTGGCTGGTCTACTACGGTCTATTTCCCAGTTAATGTTAGATCTGGCTGTTGCTGGTTTCGGCTCTAGCCTGGCCGTCACGGATTCTGTTCCCGTTGAATGGGATTCTAGGGGATAAGCTTAATTCTATGCCACTAGTGATGTGGATATCAGGGTGACTGTTGAGGTACTAGATTTCTCTGTTGTTGGCCTGGGTTGCCACATGATAGGATATACCAGTGTTGGGCACATTATCATATTCACTGTATGACCCCCCTAACTGAGTCCCACTAAACCAGGTGCATATACCCTGAGGTCAGAGTGTGAACCGACCTCAGAGAGTTGCTTGTTCTGAAGAATACCGGCCTCCTGGAACAAAGAACGTTGAAACGATGTAATCCCTGACCCGCGATTTCGACACCAGCCCAGAAATTCATACTTTCAGAGGAGTCGATCGTATCAACCTTAACCCCTGGCTAGATTCATCAACTGTTTATAGGCGCTATGTGTGGTGGAAATTGAACTCTATAGATAGCCCTCTAACAGGAATAAGTGAAGGCCGTGATAACCGCCATGAATATGCGATAATCAGTTGCTAGTGCGGAAATTAAGCGCCACAATCAAACACAGCATTAGGCAGGCCTCAGCAGCAGGCAGGATGCGTCAAGTATGCCCCTGAAAGCCTCGTAAGTCACGTCTTTCGCTTAGAATACGGGCTTCTGAGACCTAAATAATGCATTGGTACTTGACCGAAGCCGATACTTCTTGAAAGCAGCGGTGAAGAATGCCGGGCACCTGTAGCGAACCTAGCAAAGTATGGCATCTGGCACCGTTTCAGGTACTAGCAGCATCCACCAATCTGATTGACCCCCGAGCGCTAACAGGGGCCTCCTTGTGCCCAAGCTTGGTTAGCTCAGAGAGACATGAAGACAAATGTACTAAGAGGTGCTCATGCAACTGCGGGGGAACCTGGTCCCACACTTGAACAAACCATTTATTTGGCTGCCAGACCTCCCTACCCTAAGCTTCCTATCCCGGATAACTGCAGGCTTCAACTGTGGGTTCAGAAAAAGGCAGTGTTAGAGTCACGTCTGGAAGATGTCGCACGGTCCTAGAGGCATTTATCTGGAACATGGTGATGCGCAAGGGAATTGCATCCGATGGAGTCTAATGAGGTCTGGGGCCTCCACACTCACCAACAGCGCCTAATCGACATACCCACTTGGGTCTTTTCCAGTGGTACCAAATGGCATGCCTCCACAGTGGGTTGCTTACTTAGTTGGGGTTGGGTACATGTCTTAGTAGGCTGTGGCGTTATTGGGCTGCATGGCATACCGTGCTGTAGTTGCGAAGTCCGTGCCTCCATGGGTAGATGGTTAGAGTATGAGAGGAGATAAGGGTGTCTTAAGGGGGAGGATAATATGAGGTCCCTAAGCTTGGAGCGCCCCTGACACTGACATGGGAACAGCTCATTTGATGTGTTCCGAGTGGAATGTGCAGGTGATATAGACTAGATTAGGTGGCAGTGATGATCTGGGATCCAATCCCGCCAACCGTTGGGCCATGCCCCTTGGATAACCGCTGTTCAGTCCTGATAATCGGGGATGGTGTCATTATCGGAATCGCCCTTGTCAGCTGCTCTGGAACCGATCGGAGAAGAACTCAGGTGATGTGCGTGAATTCAAGATCAACCAGGTTGGGGAACCCCATCTGTTCTACGATGTGCACCTTGAAGGCTTAGAGAGTCTAGGGGAGGGAAGATCACCGCGGGAAGAGAAAAGGAAAAAGAAATATATAAGAAAAACTTAAGAAGCGAGAAAAAGGAACAGACAGAAAGAGAGACAATCACAGCTGGAAAAGGACCCAAAGAGGATGAGTGCAGGAAAGCCACTGTTTTCTTCTTTTTCTGATAACCTTTGGTCAGTATCGTCATACGGTATTGTATCATCGTCATCATTAATCGTCAGGATCAATAATCGCCTCGACTCGTCAATGTAAACTCCTATGATACACTGTAGAGTCTGAAATTATCCCTGATCTGTACTGCAGATAATCGCGCTATTTGGACAAGGATCCAAAGGACAAAGTAGAATTATCGATCGACACAGTAGGGCTCGGGCAGGGCGTGGTTGGAAGGGCGAAACCGCGCGGTGGGATTAATCGATGGGGGAGAGGATTGGATTGTCGGGACTGCTTGCTTGGCCCCACGGCCACCAGGAAAGAGTAAGACCAGCCGCCGATGTTGCTTCGACCTCAACTGAACTTCCGTTCTTCCAGCTTCCTGCTATCTACCACCTACTCTGCCACCCCACGCTTGATTACCGGCCATACGCTCTCGCTTGACTCTGTCACTCCAAGTTTCCTTCGACTCTACTTCGCTCATCCCTATCTGCTCCTGAACACAGTCTGTACCGCCTCTCCTACTCCTTGTCCTTTATCCCCGACAATCGGTCGTCTTTCCCCGGATCTGATCCTAGTCCGATAAGACCTCCGCCCGACGACTGCACGAACTACCCAGTCCATCCATCTTACTGTGCAGGAGCTGACCAGAACCTGATACCTCAGAACCTCCACCGATATCAATTTCACCCAAGCCCAGCACATTGATCGACCACCCAGTTGCTCAACGAGCTCCCCACCCAGTGAAACGAGCCTCGGCGAGTATCAGTGACCCGCCGCTGATATAGGTCTGCTCTCCTGGTTCTCCTACAGAGCCAGGCGGAAGGGCAGATCTGAACGTTTTCGAACTGGCAGACAATCATCCCTTCTATATACCCTCCTCCGCCGCTCCCGACCACCCTGACCCTCCTATCCCCCGCCAATCTTCAGCGTCCCGTCCACTCACTTCCGCTCCGGGCGGCCCTTCCCCGTTTCTCCTCCAAAGACCGACAGCCAACTACAACTACGGTACAGTGGGCGCTCTCGGAAACCCGCATTCATCCTCTGCTCGTCGACGGCGCCGTAGCAGCACACCGGATACGCCCGAACACACCTTTGAGGGAACAGGAGGTTTCGCGGAGGATCGCACGGCAAGCGAGGCCCGGTCTCGAACATCCAGCAGTATTCAGTCACGCGCCCCATCAGAGGGCCCCGAACCGTACCCCAAGCGCAGGCGCCTGGCAAATATGCGCCCGGATGGCATTTCCAGTACAAACGGCTCCTCCCATACGTTGAATGGCTCAAATGCATCCCCGTCCCAGAAGACAGCTTTCGCCCACTCTCTGAACGGCCAAACGAGTTTCACAGCCTCCAACGGAGACGTACGCACGAACGGGTCTCAAAAAGCGTCAGTCGGCCCTCCGTCATACTATGGTCATGACCGAGAAGAAGTTACCAGGATCTTGATCCAAGCCCTGTTTGACCTTGGCTATGATGGGGCCGCGACGCTTCTAAGCAAAGAGAGTGGCTATCAACTGGAGAGCCCAGCAGTTGCTACGTTTAGAAATGCGGTGTTAGAGGGCCGATGGACCGAGGCGGAACATATACTGGTGCAGTCATTCTATCCGGATCGAGGTGGTTGGAAGGGTAATACCGGCGAGCAAGCGACGAATAGGGAGAAGCTGGTTTTGGTGGAAGATGCTCAAAAGAATGAAATGCTCTTTTACCTGCGACAGCAAAAATTCCTCGAATTGTTGGAAGCCCGCGATTTGGCGGCGGCCCTAATAGTTCTGAGACATGAACTGACACCGCTGAACTATGACATAGGACGGTTACACGCCCTGTCCAGGTGAGCACACCATGCTGACAAGCTCTCGCGGCACCACTGTGAGTGAAACTGACTTTCATGCTAGTCTACTCATGTGCCCCCCGGAACATCTCCACGACCAGGCCGGCTGGGACGGTCCCATAAGCTCTTCTCGAGAACGTTTGTTATCGGAATTGTCTCGTGAGTCCCCAAACCCAGGGTTCGGAGCTGTAACAGCGCATGCCGCTAACAACTTAGTAGGGTCAATATCGCCTTCTGTAATGATTCCGGACAATCGTCTTGCTATTCTGCTGGATCACGTCAAACAAACACAGATCAACCAGTGCTTATATCATAATTCCGCATCACCACCTTCATTATATTCAGATCACATGTGTGATCGCAAAGACTTTCCTTTGCAGACCGGAATTGAGTTGAACCAGCATTCCGACGAGGTGTGGTGGTGCCAGTTCTCGAACGACGGGACGAAGCTGGTCACTGCCAGTAAAGATCAGACTGTAATCATTTACGAAACCAGCACCTTCTCTGTGATACAGAAGCTTTTGGGTCATGAGGATGGTGTTGCACAGTGTGCATGGAGCCCGGATGACTCGAAGATCATTACCTGTTCTCAGGACAAGACCGCCCGCGTGTGGAGCGTTGAGGTACAGTGACCCCTTTTCGTGTTGGAGGACGGTGCTTGTGCTGACAGTTGGCAAAGACTGGTCGTTGCCTTCTGACCATCAATCACCACCGTCATCCCGTGACAGCTGCGGCGTGGGCTCCTGATGGCGAGTCTTTCGTAACAGCGGCTCTGGACGTGAGCTCACAACTCTGTCATTGGGGCATGCGTGGACAGACCTTATACATGTGGCCGGACGGCTTCCGCGTCCAAGACTGTGCTATCACGCCCGATGGCCGGAGACTTATCGCGGCAGACCTTGATCAGAAGGTCCACGTCTATAACCTTGCGACCCGCGATGAAGAATACTGCCTAGCCCTGAAAAGCAAGCCAACCTCAGTCGCTGTTAGCAGGGACTCCCGTCACATGCTGATCAACTCCGCCGACGGGCAAATACAGCTTGTTGACATCAACACCACAGACGTTGTGCGACGATTTTCAGGGCAGAAGCAAGGGCATTTCGTGATTCGCAGTGTCTTTGGTGGTGCGGCGGAAAACTTTATTGTTAGCGGAAGTGAAGGTGAGCACCATTTGAACACACATCCTCACCTTCTTTGGCTAATGTGTCCTAGATTCTCGTGTTTATATCTTCCACAAAGAAGCTGGCACACTTGTAGAGGCATTAGAGGGGCACGTACGAGGATGTGTAAATTCCATGTCCTGGAATCCCCGAGACCCAGGAATGTTTGCTTCTGCTGGCGACGACTGCTTGGTTAGAATGTGAGCACCGGCCCCGTCATTTCCCCCCTCCCCCCAGATAGTGTTTTGGCTGACAGATCTCTAGTTGGACACGTGAACGTGACATACGGCCGAATGTTTCAGCGGGCAAGCACAGGGCAGTATCGACAAGTGGTTTCACTCGCACCAGCGCTCTGCGTTCAACATCAAGCTTCAATTAGTGCTCCCGTTTCAGGAGTAGCAGGCAATCCCACATAGTTTTTACATACTTGGAAGCAGCTCCAGCTTAAACATCTCTCGCATTCACTCCGTCCGCTTTCTCCCTCATCTCTACTCCGAACCCAACTGCTCCCGTTTATTCACTCCACCCTGCATATACGCATTTTTGCTGGCTCATCGTCAGTGATCCATTTAATACAGGTTGCAGGCGCCGCTGCTTTTGGTACAGATCAATATATGCTTTGCATCAATTTCATTTCTCTCTTTCTCTTCCGCACATTCATCATTACCATCCCCGGCGCGCCTGCCATCAGTGCCGTGCCGTAATAAGCCACTGCACCATGGCATGGCGTCCCTGTCCATTATATCAATATTCCATCCCCACCCCATATTCCTACATATTATAAAGACTTCCACGTTTACGGTTAATGGTCTGTCTGTCATCGTCGTTACTGTCCACCCTTTGGGTCGTGAATCATTCAAGGTCTTCAGGGACTAGTTAGGAGTGTGCTTTGGTGTCATGTTCCCGTTTGTTTTTTGTTGTTCGTTACGTATCGAAGTCCTCTCTGCTTTTGTGCTCAAGAGGCCATCGAGTTCTTGTTTGCTTCTCGCTACCGCTACTTCGCTTGATCTGTGGCTGGCTGCTTGCTTTTTCTCCTTTCTCTGTATCTTCTGAGGTTGGAAAGTTGGCTGGTAGTGGTAGAGTATGCATCTGATAATCGAAATATTTTCTTGGGTACCATCGACTGACTGATTGGTCTACTCGTGTGGTGAATGTAGGATAGATGGGCAAATACTACTAGTACTGGATAGTTGCAAGGAAGAGTGGGATGGGATAGAATGGATGAATGTACTTTTGAGGGATGTAAATATGGCCAGTCAGACTAGTATAAACAGACCACATAAGACTCTTGAATGTTCATATTTCCACTCGATCGTAATAAAAAGAGTAAACTCCAAACATAGCATGTAAACCCCGAAACAATTCAAACGCCAGAAGGAATATTCAAAAGTAAATAGATAAGAAGGGTAGAACGTGGCCAGCCTGACTGGATCCACGCCGCTTGATTGAGTGACATTGGCGTCGTAGACAATCATCTACTCGAACAACACTGGCAAGGTGTCAGATGCGTGGTTGGTACACTGTAGAAACGTGATAGTGAACTAACCAATTTGATGATTTTCCCATTTCCTCCACGCGATTCTCCGCCCCTTCACGGTGTTCTGGGCCATTTTGTCCACCTTACTGATTTGTATAGGGAGGAGCGAGGCATTGGTACTATTCGGATGCGCGAGCTTGAAGCCAGGTGATGACTCGTAAGTGACCATAGTTAAGGATAAATTGGTCGATACGCTAGGCATAATTATATTGTTTATGAAAGAAGATCGGCAACTAGAGACTAGGTTAGCTATATCTGAGCTTTGTGACGTAGATGGGTTTAACATACCATTCATGGGCATCTCGTCAATCTGGGTGGAGTAGTAAAGTTCAATGTCGCGAAGGATGCGCACGTCATCGCTGGTGACGAAGTTGATGGCAACACCCTTACGTCCGAAACGACCACTACGACCGATACGGTGAATGTAGTTTTCACGGTTGGTGGGCAGATCGTAGTTGATGACCAGGGACACCTGCTGCACGTCGATACCACGAGCCCAGACATCGGTGGAGATAAGCACACGGGAGTTACCCTGGCGGAAATCCTGCATAATGCTGTCACGCTCCTTCTGGGGCATTTCACCGTGCATGCTGGACACAGTAAAGTTGGCTTCGCGCATCTTGTCGGTGAGCCAGTCGACCTTGCGACGGGTGTTGCAGAAGATGACCGCCTGGGTGATCGTCAAGGTATCGTAAAGGTCGCAAAGGGTATCGAACTTCCACTCTTCCTTCTCCACCGCAATGAAGTACTGCTTGATGCCTTCGAGGGTCAATTCGTCACGCTTGACCAGGACACGCACGGGGTCGGTCATGAACTTGGTGGTCATATCGAGCACGTCATAGGGGAGGGTAGCGGAAACGACAACGACTTGGGTGGCAGGAGGAAGGTAGCGGTAGACATCGTAAATCTGTTCACGGAATCCACGGTTGAGGAGTTCGTCGGCTTCATCGAGAACCAACATCTTGATGTGACGGGTGCGCAGATGGCGTCTGCGAATCATATCGGCGACTCTGCCCGGGGTGCCCGAAACGACATGCTGACCGTAGTCAAGCTTCCTGATATCCTCTCCAATATTCGTGCCTCCGATGCAAGCGTGGCATTGGACGTTCATGTAATCACCGAGGGCCATAATAACGGACTGAATCTGGGTGGCAAGTTCACGAGTGGGGGAAAGAACGAGGGCTGTCATGTGTGAGATTACAAGCACCACTTGAGATTGAGCGCATATTACATACCCTGAGATTCGCGAACGACGGTATCGATGACTTGGAGAATACTGATCGAGAAGGTAGCGGTCTTACCAGTACCGGATTGCGCCTGGGCAATGGTATCGCGACCTTTGCAGATCTGAACAATGGCACGGGACTGGACAGCCGACGGAGACTCATAGCCATAAGCGTAAATACCACGGAGAAGGCTCTCCTTCAGGTGCATGTCCTCGAAGGTAGGAGCAACAGTGACCTCCTTCGAGGTGTTGAACTCCATGCGGTCTAGTTTTGCGCAGTTAGTATACAGGCGTGAATGACAGTTGGGAACTTTGAGATCCTACCATCAGCGCGTCTGTCAATTCCGTCCGCCATGTTGAATACACCAGGTCTGTAATTTGAAGTAAGAGGATGAAGTAAAACAGAATCAAGTCAGTGGAGGAGGGGAGCTGGCCTGGTGGAGTAGCAGAAGAATCGCCCAGCTTCTGCGGCGCGACTTTTCGTTGCGACCGAGGTCTCACCGCCCGCCGCACGTGACGATAGCTCGCCGCAAAGCTCTCTTGGATGGCGTTGAGATGCCCGCTTCCATCCCCGATCTTCAGAAGCGCTTTAATCTGCAGAAGTCAGGTAGAGCCTTGTGCGCGCAGCAAATATGATTTTCGAGGAGCAAAGGTTCATCCATGAGGACCTTGAGCGCCTGGAGCAGGCGATTGCCGACCGCGTCGCCGAAGAGCCTCGTAATGTAAGTAAGCCATCAGTCTCTATCCCGTCGCCCTCTGCTAACCCACTCTTTCACTTTCAGATTCGGGATCGCCTGGCTCGTGATCATGAAGTCGCACATTTCTTGAAGCGTATCGAAGACCAGTCCAAGAGGCTGCTCGACATCTACAAGGATGCGGACGGCGCGCGTGAGAAGGAAATCCAAACCATCTCAACCGGCGATCAATTCGAGGAATTCTACAAGCAACTGGACGAGATTAAGGACTTCCACAGGCGCTATCCTAATGAACCAGTCGAAAACCTTGAGCGGGCTTACAAACGCCGTCAGCCTGGAGAGGGTGAAGTAACGGGAATGGAGATCGATAACCTGTTCACTGGCGAAGAGGGTTATGGACAATTTTTGGACCTCACGACATTGCACGAAGACTACCTGAACTTGCCGGGGGTAAAACGGCTTTCATATGTACAGTATCTCGACATCTTCGATGCGTTCACTCCTCCACAACTTCCGATCAAGCGAAACAACAAGCTTTCCGATCGGTATTTCAAATACGTCGGTGAACTCGCAAACTACTTGGAAAGCTTCATCAAAAAGGTGAAGCCGTTGCAAGATCTTGACAAGCTCTTTGCTAGCTTTGATGAGGAGTTCGAAAGGCAATGGGCGGCGAACGAGGTCCCTGGTTGGACAGAGGAGGCTGCTCAGAACGGTACCCAGGGCCCGAAGACCGAGGGCTCCGGAGAAGGCATCTGGTGTGCTGACTGCGAGAGGGAGTTCAAGAATGAGAATGTCTACAAGAACCACTTGACAGGAAAGAAGCATATCCGGGCCGCTGAAGCACGCAAAGCCGCCGGGGATGACGCGAAGCCGGCAGCCCCTGCGACAAACGGTACCTCATCCGTGTCTCATCGACTCAAGGAACGTGCAGTCGCAGAGAGGGAACATCGGGTGCGTTCTTTGACGCAGGTACTGCAGCCCGAGCGTCAAGCAACGAGGTTCAATGTCGAGCGGAGACAGGGTATGACTGAACGTGAGCGCCAGATGGAACTCGAAGCTCTGCTGAATGAGTCCGAGAACCCTGGCGGTGATCGTGCTGGCGATCAATCTGATGAGGACGATGAAGACCGAATCTACAATCCCCTCAAACTGCCACTTGCTTGGGACGGCAAGCCAATCCCTTACTGGCTTTACAAGCTGCACGGCCTTGGAGTGGAGTATCCTTGCGAGATCTGCGGTAACTTTGTTTATATGGGTCGTCGTGCGTTTGACAAGCACTTCTCGGAGGCCTTACATATCTTTGGTTTGAAGTGTCTTGGTATCACTTCCAATACCAACCTTTTCCGTGAGATCACTCGCATTGAGGATGCAATCAGGCTTTGGGAGAAGCTAGAGCAGGACCGCAAGAAGGACAGAGATAACCGCGACAATGTGGTACAGATGGAGGATGCCGAAGGCAATGTGATGCCTGAGAGGATCTACCTTGAGTACGTGCCCCAACAATCCCGCGACCTATTGGAACTTTTACTAATATTTACCAGTCTGCAAAAGCAAGGTATCCTATAATCGGCAACTCCAGGTCAACATTTCTTCATGTTTTTTATTGCATTGCCTTTCGCCATATTTCATATTGAAAAGCCTGGAGTTTGGTGGGTGTCCTTTCTCGAATTTCCTTAATGCTGCGTGGTCACTGGGATAGTGTTGGTTGGGAATGGCTGTATCAAAGCAAAGTCAAGACTAGACAGCTTTGCATTTTATGTATTCTACACCCCAAGAATATTTCGATATCATCATCGGAAAACTTAAAGCCAAAAATCTCAAATTGAACCTAACTTTGGCTCGGATCACGTGGTTTCGCGTCCCGTTCGCGTAGCTTCCAAAGTTCAATTTTGTGCCCCGCGTCTTCCCTCAGTCTCACTTGC